CTGCGGACATGACCGGATTTTTTCCGCAAAATGACATATTTCACGAATTTTTTGTTTTTGCTTCACCGTGCAAGATCAAAGCCTTTCAAAGTAACATATGGACTTTTGTTGTTTAAGTAAATTCTACAGATTTTATTTCAGCTAGCTAGCGACACTCTGCGATTTTCTGGCACCAAACTAAAAATCGCAAAATTTGAAGCCCCATATTTGAGAGCTTCGTTCTTGATGTCCAGCTCACGGAATCTTACGCTTAAACATTCATCTTGAAGCGTAAGGCTTCTAATATTTTTAGCATACAAGATTGTGAATTTAGGTTTAGTCTTTAAAAAGTTATTGAATTTTGTTTGAATTACGCAAGAACTTTCGTGCCAACCTAATATATAAACAACTGTATATTGACAACCGCCTCTAAGTGAACTCAAGTAACATTTATTGGATAAAATATGAGGCAAATTCAATAAATCAGTAAAGAGGATAAGATACAAAATAAAATCAAGAGGTGGAGATAAGGTTGTAGCAATATGAAGCAACTGTATTATGCTGATATTGTGACAAGGATGTATTGCCTAGGATTGATTGAAAAGCTCGCACTCCTGAAAGCAAGATAAGGGCATGATACTTACATAAGAGGAATTTGATTATGAATGCCATACAACCACGCAAATACATAAAAATGACATTCCTTCAAGTATAACTCTCATATTTTGTTCTGTATCGATTCAGTTGCATGGCCATGCCAGCCCATGAAAGCGAGATCTTATAAAAAGCACGAATTCGCGTGACGATGTGTCCAAAAATGTTCTGAGATAGAGAGGAATTTACGCTAGCTAAAAGATATATAGGCATATTTCGCGTAGCTAGTTCTCTAGGGATGGGTGCAGGTAGAGCAGGTCACAGAAAAAGCGACCCTGTACATAAAATATGCTCATCTTTATGTACTCAAGGTTTTTATACCTTTCCTTACTGAGAAGTCTGGGAATCATTCACCCCTCCTGCGGTCACGCCGAGCGGTGCGTTTTTTGATTGATCCGCCATGTCCACTACTCCCATGTCCACTCCCTTGCCGCAACTTCCTAAAAAGGGGAAGCCTTCGTCTCCCCTCGTCACCAAAGCCCTTCCGATGATGGACGACCAAACAGCTCAACTACTAGAGCATATTCATTCCATTGTTAGCGCAAAGGCCCCGGAAGTCATTCCTTTACTGGAAGAATTCGTCAATATGCTTTCTAAGTGTCGTCGGCTAAAAAACAATTCGGTGTACAAGAACGTGTACGTGAGAAGATCGATGACACCTGAAGAAAGACAACGTGATAGAGAATTACGCAATAATGCTAGAGAACTAAATCAAAAGGAAGAACAGCTAAATGGATTGAGTGTTTGCCCCCCTGCACTTCTACTTCAGAAAAATTCTGCCACTTTCAAAAAAGCCCTGTCCAAGATCGACGTTCTTGAGTTACTTCAGCTACGCGACGTTAAATGATGATGTCTACACCCATCCAACTACATTTTACTTCCTTCCTTTCCGATTCCTTCAATGTTATTTTTAGCTCTGTTTTTTTCCGTTTGGATTGTCTTTATTATGTCTTTCTGCTTCTGCTCAGGCCGTACTAGACCTGCTAAGTCTGCGTGACCACCTTGTTTAGTCGAGACCCGGCTACTATATGTGTGTTCTTGCGGGTGGACTAGTAAGCTCTAGGTGGCATACATGAGTTAGTGTAGGCACTCTTTAGTTATTCTTCGTAGGGCTGCTTTCCCTTTCCTGCCCACCGGGATGGTGGTGGCCGGATGGTGGGGGTGATGCGGAGGTTTGGTGAGCGGGTATGCTGGTGGCCCCCTACCAGTGTACCCGTCTGGGTATGTCGGCGGGGGCTGCCGGCGTATCCGTTTGCCGAGCTTCTGCTCCCGCCCCCACTGTTTGCCCACTTTCATGTCTGTTGGCTGGTGAGGGTAAGTGGATATACGAAATTTTTAGTCTAAAAATCACACTACTCGGTAGTATGTCCCTTCAGCTTATCTCTGGTCCCACCCATATGTTGTAGCTTTATGTGCTGGTCAGAAAAAATATTCGGTGGTTTTTTTGTTTGTTTGTTTTGTGTTTACTTCTTCATTTTCATTGCGGCTCTCCTTAGTATCTTCGTGTTAGCAGTTTTTGGATTGATAGCACGCCGAAGTGCGTATGAATAAATAAATAAATAAATAAATAAATAAGAAAGTTCTGTAAGTTCTTTTACTCCATCTGAGAGCAGGAACAAAACAATTGATGATTTCTCTACCACAAAAAAATTTTGTCATTGATTTCTTTTATCATGAACGTCTCCAACGGCGCAGAGATACATAAATTTATTGAGAATTTTCAATTAAAACGTTACGCAGACGCATAATAGCAGACTCGACAAAAGATTTTAGCTTAGCAAAAATAATTAGAGCAATAGCTGGACAGAAATGAATGAAGAAAAATTAACGACTACAAGCAGGAAGACCAAAAAGCGAGGAAAATCAATGGAAAAGGGAAGATATCGCTAGCGACGGCAAAACTTATTAAAAAGGAGGAAGTAGCCCATTTGCGAGAACGCTTGCCGTTGCCTGGGAGGCATGAGCTAGAAAAAGTGTAAAAGTGAGGAGCGCGAGGTGAATTCTCCATTAGAGAGACAATTCACTACTGGGAAACGTAAATGTTTCCAGCAAAAGACTCATGCATCAAATCTTCGATGTACGTTGAAAAAATGTATAGACAGCAGCTGCACATATTGCGCCTGGGAAAACAATGTGACTGGAAAATGCATGAGATTTCCCAGAAAAGGGAGCACGTCATGAAAAGCCATAAAAAGATTAACACATCAAAGTACTAGGACAGACACAAGTATCTTTTTCGACTCGAAGAAAACAATGTTTGCCTCCTTGTAGCCGAATGACTGCAATAAAAGTAGGGTTCAGAAGGAAGAGGTGGTGCAATTGGGACACATCTAAGGTGGAGCCAATCGCTAATGTGACGATTCTCAATGTGACATGAGCTTTTTTTTAACATTCACCTTTCCTAGTACAAATTCTTCCAATCTATGATCGAAATAAAAACTTAGCGGCAAAATCAGACTGCTTGTTTGATTAAGCTTGGCAGAATATGAATGCTTGAATGGAATGAAAGTACTTATCGTTATCTAGATGTAAAATTGGACTCATTGTAAAGAAGAAAGAGTGACAGATCGCATTTGGCCACTGTACAACAAACCAAATCAAGACCTTTCCTGTGAGTGCCCAAAAAGTCACCTAATGGTTCGATTTTGCATCGTGGAAACTGGATGACATAACTTTTCCAAATAAAGAAAAAAATTGCGATGTGAACGATTTAGAGAGAAAATGCACGGATGTCGCATCGTCGATGTGGGAGACAGACGCACGCTGAACAGCTGTATCTGAAAACTTGATATCCAGGGGATAAATGCGGTGAAAACATTAGTCGGAATAACTTTTTACGAGAAATATGTCCAGCACATTCACAGCAAAACGACTACAACGGTAGGGAAAGGGTTGGAATTATTTTCAAATTAGCACAATTTCACGAGCTAGAGCCGTTCCAAAGATGCATTTGGTAGATACTGAAGAACTGTTCGAAAATGACAGGAATTTAATACACTAAGAATAGATCGTAAATTACAAAAAAAAGTTTTAGAAGAAATGAGCAATAGCTAACATCTGGTAATATTTTTGACAGAAAATACAAATATGTCAAGGTCACCCTCTGAGCGTAAAAGTATATGAAGTGTACAATGTTACCAAAGACTTCAAAATGCGTTTCAAGTAGAAGCCCACCACCCCCAAAAAACTTTGCTCTCAGTCAGCTCAACGTATATCGAAAGGGACAAGCATAGCCGATGCAGCTCATTGATCCAAGCGTTTGCCCTCGCTAACAAATACGTAAACAAAAACAGCAGCAGCACCGATATTTATGGAAAGTTTTGTTGGAAATAAATAGCGAAAACTGTTGCCTGCTTTCAGCCCTTGTTTGAAACTCTTGTCAATAACCCCTACCAGCTGCCATTAATGTAACAGACTGGCTTAACAATGAGTAGTGTTTTCATTGGCCTAATTTCTGTTATTGACAGACGGAAAAAAGTGTCCGATTGACGGTCACCTGCTAAATAATGAGGTGTGAGAAGTAATAACCAACGAATCTGCAATGAGACTAGAAAAGGTTACCATGGCAAATTCAGAACTTTGTAGCATTTAGCGCCTTTTCTTTACCTGTTCTTTGCAAAACACCTCACTGAATTTTCCAAAAGCAGCGAGTCTCATAAAATTTTCGAACTAGATCTTGTTCCCGCCATTTTTGAATTTGTGGAGTCAAAAAATCCCGATCATACATGGATCATCACTTGCTGCAATGTCTTTATTTCTCCGTTGAATGTAGGGAGATGTGACTGTGAAGAAAAAAGTCTGATGATGCAAGAAAAAGAAAGACTTAAGAGAAGGGTATGAAAAAGTGACACTTAAAAACATTTTTTCGAGCAGTTATTTATGTGTCTGTCGGGACCTGAAGAGAAAAAAATACTATTAGATGATAATGCGCTCTGCAACAATGTACTGTGCCCTTTAGAAACATGGAAAAAGCTACTTTGTATATGTTAGCTGAATAAGAAAAACGAGAGATTTCAACACTTTGCTTATGAAACAATATAGGGACTAACCGCAACTTAAAAGTTTAAACAGATGAAAAACAGAAACAAAAAACTTACATTCGCTTTTCAATTAGGGAAACACATAGGGGAAACGAGAAATCGATAAAAGGCAGCGAAGTGCTCTCTACAAAACAGCAAGTTTTCCAGTAATATGAGAATTGAGTACGTAAATCAATGAGGGTGAACTATTAGATGCAGAAATTTGAAATGTATCCTGATTTCGACTCTCTTGCCTATCTCATTAATTGGTAAACATGATCATCAGATCAAAATAAACTGATGGGCTTCCATCCATAAACTCTCGGAAAAGTAACCACACATGAACACAGATAGAACTCTTTATGTATAATGTACACCATGAATGAAAGAAGACAAGAGGGCTAAGGAACCCTGAGAAAAGAGGAGGTTACCACTACTCATATATCACAGCCGCCATATGATATAGTTCACATTTTAAAGTGAAAATTTCCCGGAATCAAGCAAGGCACAAGCATATAGAGATATGAGGAATTTTGAACATGGACACGGATTCGCAAATGAAACAACCAACCCGCAGGAAAGACTAGATGTCGATTCATAGGAATGAGACCTAACCGGCACAAACTTCGCTAAGAACCTGCTAAGCGTGAATGATCCCTACGACCCAAGAATGCTGCTATCAACTCCACCAATCCCATACCAGGCCAACAGATTGAAATATTTCCTTCATATGAATGTCGCCAAGCGGAGGCACATGTCGAGGGAACGCTTCTGTGGTCTCACATGAAGAATTGCCGACTGTTCGTGTGTAACCCTCCGAAGCGCGACGCACAAGTCCTTCACTATCTGAAACCAAGGGAATTAAACTCTATGATTTGCCGAAATTACACAGTTTGCCAAGTGAACTGAATTCTATAAGACCAGAACTGCCTCAATATAAAGGCATCCCCTTTGTTTCAACTGGCTTGGCGGCTGGAAGGCGGGGCTTCGTGACCTAACTAGAGCTAGGTAATATCGGGAAGCACGCGCGCGGGAGAGACGCAGAGACTGCGTCGCGGCGCGAGCGGCCTTGATTAGGTCACAAAGCGCCGCCTTCCAGCCGCCAAGCCAGTTAGATCAGAGGTTACACCCAAACTGAACTGGCGAGATTTTGATACTGCATGATAGAGTGAAGTAAGTGATCCCTGAAGTCTAGCTGCAAAACACTAATTCCAAAGCGAAAAAAGACACTTAAAAGGTAGACGACAATGGTGGTTCCGCTCATCAAATGGGTGCTTCGAGGATAACAACCGGAACTGGGCTTCAGGGTCGGAACTGTCAAAATCTGATATTCATGACGAAAATCTGGTTTATGAGTTTTCTTGAACGTTAAAGCCCAATTTCGGACTTGTTATCTTCAAAGCACCCACGTCGATGGGCGGAGCCACAACATTCCGCTTCTTTCTGGAGCGACTTTCTTCCTTCGGGAATTTTGCAGCGCTTGGGCGGTCTTACTCAGTTGCCCCCCCCCCCCCCCATCATGCAGCATGAAGATCTCACCACTTTCACTTCGAGTAAACAGTTCTTTTAGCTGCTCTTTCGCAATCAAAACACCACTTGACACAAAGAAAATGTTTTTCTGGGATGAATACGTGGAAAACAAGAGCGTGTTCAAGCTGGTCCAGGCCGTTTAATGCCATCAAACAGAAGAGCCTTTTCCATGATGTCTTATCTACCAAATACATTGATAAAACTAGAGTTTTGCTACACTGTCTTCAAAGCACTACGTAACGCAGGCTTAATGAACTCCCCAGATGTGACAACCCGATACCAATTACAAAGGCAATGTAACAAAAGGCAATGCACTCACTCGATATTACGAGCTTTTTTGGACCCGCAAGGAGCTTCTTCGTACCAGGCCTGCTGTGACTACGAGGTTCGACGAAGGAGTGTTTTCTAAATTTATAATGAGTTCACAATGTACTTCTTTTTGTGCCTCACACAAATGAACTCACCGGAACTTGTGAAGTATAGGGACAATATGCCCCTCAGTCGTAAACAACAACCGCTCTTGATGAACGTTTACCGGATTCTCCTCATCGAATAACTAAAAATAACTTTATATCCACTGAACAACCGCATCCATTCCGCAAGATACCAAGTATAGGTATTTCATGGTCTCAGCAAGGAAAAACGACTCCATCCTGTCCTCCAGACTTCCATCGTCAACATTATGTACAGTGGCGAAACCGCATTTGACCTTGAAAAATCGAAATGCTACAGCAACGTTTCAGTAAACAAAAACTAACTCTAGTTTTACTGTTCAAGGATTCCAATATTTCTTTTCCAACATGCAGGTAGAAAGGATTCTTCGTAGCCTGATACAAAAAGTATGTCGACTCAACAAACTCGGGCCGAAGAGGATAAAAGTTCACGTCAGGGCGTCTAGAACAATGAATTTAGTCACACATCTATAGCGCCTGATTATTAAGTAGAAGTTATGATTTCTAAAAAGCAAGGAACCTACTTCAGGTACCAATTATATCGCTCTGGCAGCACCCCGTACTTGCTCCAAACTGCGTAATAGAACGCATGTTGACAGATTGCTTCCTCCAAATGACCTGCCAAAACAAGAAGTCCAGCAAAACTAGCCTGAATGAGTTGATAGATTATCAAAAAGGATAGAACTATGAAGATAACCTGCAGCGCATCAATCCAGGTATTGGCCGTGCTACCATCACGTGAATCGACATTCACAAACAGTGGTGGTTCACCATCCTGAGAATTGCAGTAAATCCTAAAAAATTCTTTTAGCTGAAAAGGAGTAAGTATTTGAAAGAGAGAGATGAAATCTCGAACCTTCCACGACGCATATTAGCCAAAATGGCATCATACGCTTCATTAAATAACTGCAGATCGCGAGGTTCTCCAAATAAGATATATGCTTAAATGATTGCTGCTGAGCAAGAAAAGTTACGTAAACAGACACACGGGCAAAATCACCCTTGAGGAAATATTCATAGAATGAGTCCAGACCAGCGCCAACGCCGCTCAGATGTCCAACCCACTCTCCAGTTTGTATATTTATGACGTTACCTAGATAGACAAGTAGAGCAGAACTCAGACGAGGGACGGGAAAGAAAGATGAAAAAAAGTATAATAAAAAGAAAATTTCATTCTGATCTCAAACGATTGAAAAAATTCAAAGTAGGAAAATGTGCAGAAAATGCCATGTCATTACACTGCAAGAACAAGGAAACAGAGGATCTGCTCCAAAAAAGGGAAAGACCATTGAGATTGAAAAGATACACCTATATTTTATTCAGTGTGACCCCTTCCACGCAACTAAGCACATTAACGCCCAAAAAAGTTATTGGCACGATACCTGGTAAACCGGTATTTTCATCGCGATGTTGCCATAATCTCTCATTAATTCGTCTGGCAGTACGTTCGAATGTCTACAGAAAGTAAAAGTAATCATAACAGCGTACGAAGTTCGACGACTTAGAAATGAAAACACTACCTGATCTCCTAACAAACGCGACAGAATTCCGAATTCTACCAAAAGAGATCCAGCTCCAGCCGTACAAGTCTCCTCTATAGTATCGGGAAGTACACCACGCATTAGATTTACACGAGGATAAGGGATACCTATAAGAATAATGGTTAGACTCAAAACAGATACAAAGTAGGAAAAGTTCAACTGAACCTGTTCTAGTACCCTCGAATGCGGGAAGGAGACGTGCAGCAAGATCATGAGCAAGAGTTAGCAATTCACCTTCATACTCGGGCATGTAAAAATCTCCTAACAAACGAGACTCATCTGATGCAATTAAGTGAGCAGATAGCAGGGACCCGATAACCCTAGTGAGAGATCGCTATATTTGATGAGAAAAGAAATTATGAGAAAACTATTACCTGATTGTCGCCTCAAACACTTGTACAGTAGTATTCTTTTCAAATGTCACAGTGTTGATAACAAGAGACACGGCTCGCTTGAATTCCTCGGTATCTCCTGAACTGAACATGATCAGAAGCTAAGCGAAGCACTCTATTATGGGACCATCACAAGACATGCAGTAAACCCTTATTTAGAAAAAAAGATGATTATGCTCCTATCGGCAAAATAGCATGACAGCGAGATCACAACTGTCAAAAAAGCTTTCAACAACCTCTCCACTGAACAAAAGGCAACAAAACCAGGTTCAACAGAGCTATGTGAATGAAAGCGTCTGATGAAAGAATGAAAGAATCTGATAGTTTGATCAGGATAAATAAGAATAAAGCTACCTAGCACCACCAAAGTATCGAGCGAATCGATCAGAGTCAAGGAGTAATCACCCAGAACATCATTAATGTTTATGTTGGACCTAAAAAACAAGACAATGAAAGGAGAAAACATCAACTCTGAAGCTTACGGATTGCTATGATCGTGTCCTCTTCCAGTGCAGTGTATTGGATCCAATTCATCTGCGGGAAAGGCGTGCTCCATATAATTTTCATAGCCAAAGTAGAACATCTCTCTTGCCTCGCTCAACGCCTCGAGCCGGTCCGCCTGTAGATCCTTACAGCTCAAAAGCGCTCAAAAGCGCCCAAAAGCGCTCAAAAGCGCTCAAAAGCGCCCAAAAGCGCCCAAAAGCGCCCAAATTCCTCTAATGTCTCTTCACTTTCTCGTGAGAGGAGAGATGAGAGAGATTAGAGAAATTTGGGCGCTTTTGAGCGCTTTTTAGCGCTTTTGGGCGTTTTTGAGAGCTTTTGAGCGGTCTGGTCGGGGCCTTACGTTGTAATAGAGAAAGAACTCTCGATAAATTGATCTCACTTTCAGTGCCTTTCTTCCAAAAGTAATATACTCGATTGTGGCTTTTTTGATAATTTATGAATAATCGATATATCATTCGATACAACGCTTAGGCTAGCTAACGAATTACCAAACGCGAATAAATCTAGTACTTGATGATTGAAACAATTAAAAATAACTTATGAACGGATGAATAAAATAAAAAACTAACTCTTGAAAACGTTGAATAGCGTCTCTGCCATGGTGAAGCAATGAATGGATGCCATGTTTGAATACAATTACTCAACCAAACTATGGGGAACAACAGCCGTATGCTGCTTCTTTTGCAGAACTGGGATGGTAAAGCAATAAAAGGTCCTTCTTTCACACCGAAAATCAAGCTCTTACCATAGCGATTCAAAAACAAATTATTTCTTCAATGCTCCATTGATTTATGAAAAGCCTGTAAACGCTGAATTATCAACAACGCTGCGATACTGAATGCTCTGCCATGGAATAAGTGATGAAGGGATAGAACAAGTGAAAGATAATAGAGCAGAAGGTAAAAGATGCATATGAGACGTTTTGCGACTTACGCACTGAGCTCAAGGCGCTTGGTTGCTCCAAGAAAGCTCGAGAAATCGATGATACAAAAAACCTCGAACAATTTCCGTGGCTCTTTTGTCTCAAAAAATGCATTCACCGAAGGAACGACGCAGAAGACTCGAATAAATGTGAACACAAGAAAGAGCTGGCGGAGTAGACCTCAAGGCTGAGATAGCACTGAACAAGTTTCTTCAGTTAGTGTTATCGCTTGAGATGCCATGGTAAAGGCATAGAATTGTTGCTTATAAACCGCTTTGCAAAATCCTTCGATCGTGAGCTACTGACACGTGGAACATGAGTCACCATGCAAAAAAATCTGAAGTCTTATTTTTCGGAGACTGCGTGTACCACTTCTGACGTAAATATCGTGCATCCCCAGAATTGTTCTCGAACCATCGACGTGGCTGCCCTTCGATAGTAACACGTTAACTCATGCAAAGTTACGCACTCATTCGAAGTTGACGTGTTAAAATGATCGAAAAAACAGCCACGTTGGTGGTTCATATGGTATCGTCTTCTCCCCGGTGTACGTTGGCGGAGCTTTTGCAGACATCTGAACATGTTGGTGAACTTGTTAACCCTCTCCTGCAAGGCATGGTTATTTGCGATCTCTCGCTACCAACTCTGCCACGTATGACAACCGCATATATACGTGGCAGTTTAGAGGCTACGAAAGAGCATGCTTTTTGGAAGAGGTTTAGCAGGTCACCAACGTGTTGAAATGTCCGCAAATGCTCCGCCCACGTACACCGGAGAGACGACGATAACAATTCTGGAGATGCACCATACATCTCACGCAACCGTTCCTGAGCAATATGCTCACAACTATGTACCCTTTGATTCAACTGGCTTGACGCTGGAAAGCATGCCTAATGACCAGGTAATGATCAGAAAGCACGTGCGCGGGAGAGACGCAGACTGCGTCGCGGGCGCTAACGACCTTAATTAGGTCACCGAGCCCCGCTTTCCAGCCGCCAAGCCAGTTGAATCAAAGGTTACACGTATGTGGAGCTTTGGGTGCCCTTACCCTCTTCACTACCCGCACATTCAAAGATAATCCACAAGTCACAAATGGATGTTGTCGGATCGGTTTCCTTTATTATCGAATATACAAAAAAAACAGCCAAAGGCAATAAAAACACAGGGAGACGAGGCGCCGCTATGACCAGATCAAACCTAGGTTCGATTCCGCCCCTAGGCCAACCAAGCGCTCTACCCTGGGGACCGTAGACTGGCATCAGAGGGTGTATCCCATTACTTATGAGCTTTAATTACTATACGCCGCGGGCGCAGATTGGCAGTAACGTGCAGGTGCATATCTGCGCAGAGAGATCGGCTAGCAGGACTCGCAACGCATAGTTTTACATCGTTTCTGTATTCCACCTTTCCTGTTAATTTTGTTTTCAATGCTTCCATGAAGTTTGAGCCACAAAAGTGTAAGAGTAAGCTTTCGTATACCTAGACAAGAACAACGCAGACTACCAAGTTCTCGTTTAAGTCTCTATAAACATCTTCAGACTAAATAAAACTGTGATACACGGAGAATTTTTAGTGGACAAAAGACCAATAAAAGATATTGAAGATGGTCTTAAATATTTCCGTTTTTTGATTAAAAGATTTGTTTATCATAATGTGGCTCATAGCATTTTATCAGGGATTGCGCAATTTCTTATGCTAGAAAAGTCATCACTTTGGGGATGTGGATGTTCCGCGCGAGTTACTGTAACGTCGCGTCGCGGCGATTCTTAATTGACACCCACAAGTAATGGGCGCCCCCCCCCCCCCCGTACCAGAGTGATCTGATTGTGAGATGATAAAAGCAGTGACTTGTTAATTGGTTGACCCTCCATGTCATTGTAAAGACTCGCACGCATTCGACTGCTTTTTCAACTACGGTGAATGCGTTGGCAGATGCCTTCAGAGGGCATCGAAGACAGTTACCCCCTTTAAATTACAAGGAACGGCTTGACCGAAGCTTTTTTTCCAACATTACTCTCCGGAACTTCATCTATAGTGAAAAGCGCCCTTTTCCTCTAAAATTTATGGGAAGCGCACTAAAAAAAGCATCCCGACTTTGTTCGAAAAGCGTGGTTATCTCTCATCCCCCCCCCTTTCCCCGAGAAAACTGCTACTGGAAAGAACGAATATCCACAACTCTCATAAGGATTAATATAATTTCCGTTGATAAAATGCCCTTGATGACTACAACACTTGCTCGAAATACTATGCTTGTGAATGCTCATAACTAGCTTACGGCTTGCGCGTTAAAAATGTCCATATAGGGCGCACTGTCATTGTCTGCGCGCAGATTTTCGACAATAGAACAAACCATTACCTTAATAGACAAGTGTGCGAGGCGATGTAGCCAAGATATAGCAAATTAATATGAGGCAGCACCCATAACTATGATAGTAAAGAATAGGTTTGAAAAAAAAAACGGGAGATATCAAATAAGAAAACTTGTACACATAAAACACTCAACTTTCAAAATGAATTAGGAAAAGAGATCATATAAGTTCGATAGATAGCGAATTGACACGGCGAACACTGCCCATGACGAAATAATTGGTAGAAAGCGAGAAAAACAGGTATGAAATGATGTGACACAGATAGCAATAACATCACATGGAAAGTTGGCTTTTGAAAGCTGACAGTCAATATCAAGCGACAAACGCGCAAATACTCAGAAAAAAAAAGAGAAAAGTACATTTATTCGGTGACTAGATCAAAAGCATTCAGAAATGTGAATTGAAAAGCCTAACATTACATAACTTCAAGAAAATAGTAGTAACTATCATCGCAAACAAAGCCACTTACAAAGCCACTCATCCAGTATGTACGACTGTAACGAAAGAGATACCTGGAAGCTGGTCAGAAAAGACAAAGAACAAGATCTGGAAGAACTGGATCGCTTAGAACGCGCGACATGACAACATAAAACGTCGGAACATCGACATCTGACAAAACTTGCACTAGCGAAATGGCTTGTAAGTATAATGCAAAACTAATATAAAACTCCTAATTTGGGACAACTAGATATGAGCGAACTAGGTTTCTTATTACGTATAGACCCCTGCAGATCTTCGCACTGTATACAAAGTACAAAGCACTAAAATATTGAGCAAAAGAGACCACGTATGAAGGCAGATAAAATAGAGGAGGCCGATGTAGACTGTAAGAAATCAAAAAAGAAAACACAACATAGTAGGACAATTCGATTATCTATGTTTTATGATAAATCATCAAAAATCCTATCCTATGTTATATCACAGACCGTTAGACGATCATAGAATGGCATCATCAGAGAGGCGATAGTAACCTGCCTCTTTGAGGAACTATTCGACATAATGCAACACTTTTCAACATGAGGAGATAAAAAGATCCGAAGCGTGGTCTGTAAGAGTGCTCACAAATGCTTCTGGATTTCTTCGTAGATTGCCATAACCAATGCGCCCCCGCTGCTCCTGGAAAAAAAATTTATGTGGAAGCTATAGACCATAACGCTATATCGCTTTTCGACCACAGCTATACATCACTATAGCTGTGGTCGAAAAGCGATATACTGTACTCGCGCTCGTACCGCTCGAAAAGCAGTGCCAAAGCATATAGTCTCCTTAGTGATCAAAAGCGGATAATGCGCTCTCATGTTTAGCTATAGAAGCATACGTTTTGTGATCTACTACACTCAAGCAACATATTAAGTGTAAGCACCAGTTTAACTTTACGTAAAGGTTTCTACTTCCTCCTTGTCTCTTTTGACCTTTATACATTCCTTACATTTCACCAATCGGATTTCTTTCTAGGGCTTCCTTGGTAAATACGATGAGGGGCACACTGCTGATATAGTTCTAAGCCTCGAAACCGGTTAAGTGCAAGCATACTTCCTCATTGAGACATCTAGCTACTTTTTAAGGAAGTTACCCTAATAACCTTGGCTTCTTCAGCTTATTACATTACACGTAAACACCAGAATAATAAGTTATATGACTAGACTCCAAGGTTCCTGAAGAATTTTAGGCAAAAAAAGGCGAATATAGTGAGCGACAAAAAAGGTTATTCCAGAAATGATACTTTTCCCAAGATAGTACAGCAGAGTGAAAAACGTAGAACACAGGATTACCTGAATATATTGGCTAGTGCTCCCTTGAACAATCCTCGCACACCTTCCTCCACTACTATACGTTTCGCTGCCGCAAACGCTCGTTTGGAGCTGAGCGTTCCTTTTATCATCATTCGTCGACGAACTGTATCCCAAGGATAAGTCAAGTATGCAGAGCATATGGAAACACCCTGAAAGGCGCAGACTTTCATATTTAAAAAAAGAAGAAAGTTGAAAAATACCTGCGCAATGAGAAATGAGCTGACGAAGTGTAGATTTCTTTTGTCCTCTTGAACGAATTGCCTAATTGTGTCATACATCCCAAAATAAACGGCCCGATAAATGAAGTAAGTCTGAATGGATCGACACCACGATAGTACAAGCGAACAGATGAATAAATATGGAGAGAAAAGTTTTCATCCATCATATGAACTTTTGAATAGTAGGAACCATGAACTGTACTACAAACGATGGTGAACGATTGTGAATACAAACAGAGACCAATACCACTCCATACACCATATTTCAACTCTGTGGAAAGCTCACCTGTATGGATATGAAAAATCCTCGATAAAGACCCACAACTCCTTCAGATCTAACAGTTTTCCTCAAACAGTCCATAAATCCCTAAACCGAGAAATTTCGGGAACATATAGCCAAATCAACGCTGAAAAAAGCCATCGAAAAACCGCGAACAAGTCTCTGAGTGCTCAATTGTATTGAACAGATAAACTAAAAATAGTGCTAACTACCCTGGAAATTCGATAAATCCGAGCTTTGAAGCCCTATCTCAAGAGAGTTACACAACAACCCCTATAATAATTTATGCTCTCACCGTATAATCTCTGTTTGTTTTATGGGTGCCTACATCAACAGACAGTCGAGTGCGTATAAAATCTAGTGGATAAACGAAACATAATGTAGTCGATCCTGCGCAACCGCCCGCAGCTAGAGAACCAAAAGTGTACTTCCAGAAGTGCTGAACAATATTTCCAAAAATGGCAACCATCATCGTTTAAGCACAACGATTACATACCTCGTTCCGATTCAATTTTGCGAGCATAAGTGATTTATATAAATCATTGAATGCAAAGTTCAAAGCCTGAAATAAGATATTGAGGGAACAAGAATAGAAGGTGTTGGATGGAAGAGAAAAAGAAAATAAACTGCGGAAAAACCTGAGTAGGAAAATATCGCATGACGTTTGTCATATTTCCTCTCCAAAATGAGAAAAAGCCTTGTTCTTTAGGTACTCGAATGAAAGCATCCATGATTCCCTTATACCGGTCTTGAGCCGCGATGCTTTTATGGGAATATTGCACCTAAATGTAGGATTTGTCTTTGGTTTAAAATGGTGAAGTGCAGTAGGTAACTGGAAAACATAAATTTTGCTTGCTAGTAAATGATTCGTGACAAAACCGCGTCGAATTACAAGTTTACATATTTTACAAATCTTGAATTTCATGAGGGTGATGAATATGCGGCGCTGGAAAACCACGCATGCGCTTTGAGAGGGAACTCTCATTCAGCTGACTTTATTTGCAAGCATTGACGAAAATATGGATTTGTTTACCTGAAGCAGAAGCTTCACCCTTTCTATGGGTGCAACAGCGGTTTTTGATATTGCTGCTGAGGCACCGCCTACAGCAAGATCTATGGCGAACTTCCCTACATCGCGAGGGTCTCGAGGGCGGACTGGCCGCGAGGTCCGCGACATACTGAATACATTTTGAGTCAAAACAAGCAATGATAATCTGATGGGAGATGTGAACGAACAACTGAACAGCTGTGATGTTGTGAGAGTCAAGTTCCGCAAAAACAAAAGAACTGAGTGAGGCACACTTCCGGGTATGCGAGAGCAAAAAAAACGGTGAATGGACGTTTCCGTTTTCAATCCTTCCAAAAGAAAGTTCGTGACGTGTGTAAGAAAACTACAGAAAAAAAACAAGGAGAAGGTAAGGAATTCAATAATGTTGTGCCTACGGCTTGCAAAGTGACTGAGGATGTATCTGCAATAAGTTATGAAGCAAGGAGCAGGATGTTGTAGGAAAACGCCGCTTACGACGCTGGGATTGATTTGAAAGAGCATATTCGTTGGAACAAAAATATGAGGAAGTTGTTTGTTGACCACTTCTTAACGCCAATACTACGTAACCCTAACGGCACTTTTTTAGCCTTCTCATATATTTTCGCTGATGCTATAAGACATGAAATTTAGGGACAACAAAAGGTGTTATCAAAGTGAGTTATCTGTTCAACGGCTATCTGTATAGTGTCATGGCATGTTATAAAAGATTTCCAAGATTCTTGCAGGTAAGGCAGTCAACATCTGTCTTCTTCTTATGATAATGTATCATTAACAACCTCTAATAAGAGTAACAAAAACGAGTCAAAAGGCAAATTATATAAGCTTGAAAAATTCGGCCTTATGGTCAAACTGTAGCAAACAAGGTCAATATCACAAATGGAAAAATTTCGATAGAAAAAAAGCACAACAAATGAGTGAAACAAGGAAGCACCCAATAGCCATGCTCATCTTTGATTGCGACCACTAAACAACGATTAGACATAATGCGTCACCTTTCCCGCATTATACATAACTCAAAATATAAAACAACAAAACTAACCTGACATTTTCACGAGAAACTCGCAGCTGTTCCATTGAAAATGAAGAAATTTCACGGAAAAATTTGTCGGAAAATGCGTTGTCGTTCACTTACACATAAAGCACCAGATTTACGTCTTCTATTTGCATCAGACGAAGAATCTGCTTTTTTATGTTAAAGTGAAAGTGATTTTGGTCTTTTTAGGGTAGCTCCAATAACTGAGCAGGTTTTACATGGTGTTTAATTTGTTAACTGTGAATTATATCCAGGTGGGAAGTCGGAAGACCTGTTGCCAGGCCTGGCATGGTGGTCTCTAAATTTGCAGCGTCTCGAGCATGTTTATTTGCTCAAAACTTCTCCTTACTGAAAGCGATAAGGTTTGCTTAAATTTGTATCTTAGTCCCACGGGGACTATCTTCTTATAGGTCTTTCAAAGTGCGAAATGCCATCAATGCCTGGAAATCGCAAACCATCAAGAAATCTTCCTTTCTGAAAGTTGGCCGCCTTTCTGGACTTTGTCTCAGTGCATGGTGCATACCTTTGCTCAGGTAAACTAACTGGGTTCCTCTTTGTTATTGATACACATGTCTAATTGCAGAGCTGCAGAATGTAGAAGCAGAGAAGTTGAACTTAGCAGAGCCGATCATCTAAGCAATGTGTATCTGTCCAATAGAGAGCCTCCGCTGTCGCTTTCAGATGTCTGGTCTCTGATTCGACCGTACTGGTTTTACTTCTTGGCCGCAGTTGTGGTAAGTTTTATAGTTTTTGGAGACTCGTTCTCAAGAATTTTCTTTAGAGTGCAGTTCTTGCTGCTTTTGTCAATATACAGCTTCCACTTTATCTTGGAGAACTTATTGACAAGATGGTGCAGATAATCAAAGGTGCTCTATACTTATCTGTTTAGTAGCAGGTAGCATTTAAACTTCCCGAATTTTCATATGTAATCAAAATATTTTTCTCTATTTATCTTCAAAGGCTACCGTTTTCTCAACGTTTTTGAAAATACTACTGGCCACGCAGCATTGTTGAGAGGGCTATGACTACTTTCATGTGTCTAACTCGCGGTAGCCAATGAGCCCTGAAGATCCTGAACAATGAACAAGATAACTTTTGTTTCATCCGGATCGGCAGCTGGAAGGCGGGGCTTTGTGACCTAATTAGGGCCGGTCGCGCCCGCCACGCAGTCGCCGTCTCTCTCGGAGCGTGCTCTGTGCTCATTCTCTAGCCTTCTAGGTCACGAAGTCCCGCCTTCTAGCCGCCACTCCGAATCGAATGGAGAATGACAAGCTTCTCGCGAGCTAGATTTGTGGTCGAAAATATATGTTCTTCGCCTAAAGTCTGGAAAAGATTTTTTTTTGCACTTAATAGTGGGTTCACGCATAGCAAATCGTAAGCTTCCTGTTTATGCAAAGCCAAAAAGCAAAACTAAACTTCTAGCCGTTCACAAAAAATAATTACTGCGGAATGTATCAGGTTCCAAAGCGTAGGCAGATGGAGATTTCTTGTAAAGTAGCAATAGCGCGAGACTCACAAACAGAGGAGGTCGTTGTACTCTTTTTGGAGGGAAGACTTGAAGCTAAAATGCGTTCGAGCTCAGTCTATTGGGCTTTTGATTTATGTATGTAATTCTTCATCAGGCTCATCTAGTATTTTTGAAGCAAGAGCCGTTGTATGGTTGCTGTTACAGTGGTGATGTTTCAGATCAGTCAAAAGGTCTCGTGAGCGACCTCAGTATAATCAAGCCACAAGCAGTCAAGCTTGTTCTATGCTATGCCGCTCAAGCGCTGCTTACCTTCCTTTACATCTCGTTTCTAACGGTACTTGGTGAGAGGATGGCAACGGATTTACGTATGAGGATGTTTGACCGTCTTTTGATGATGGATATGGCTTTCTTCGATGCACAGGTATGATTTTGTGAAGATAACAAATTTCGTGGAAGCAAGCACCTAATGCAGAGTAGTTTAGAAAACCGCCGAGCTTTCCTGCAGAATGAATGTTGACGTACAAGAGTTCAAAAGCTGTTTCAAACTCACCGTTGCTCAAGGGCTCAGAACTGTGGCACAGGTACATGTCATTTCTTTTATCTGAAATGGCATAGGTGTGTCTTACAATTATCTTTTCTTTCCTTTCCTACATATTTTCATTACGATAAGGGATTTTCACATTCCGCTCGAATACTCCAAAATTGCTCTTTGCTTTTCCAAAAAAGTAGATCAAAAGAAATTTTATGCCGACTTCATAAACCCATTATAATCACAGAAACTGTTTTTCGAGAGCATTTGATTGTACTGTTCCATTTAACCTTGGCTCTATGTCCATTACTCACTCCTTCAATTTCATAGTTCAACCCTCTTTTCCGCTTGTCAATCGTTACTTTTCTCGAATCATTCAGTTTGGTGCGATACAAGTTTTCGTTAGGATTTACATCAATTTTCCATTTCACATTGATTGGCACCCCTATAATTCTCAAGGAACTCTGTTCTTATCAGCTACAACATGGGGATAATTCAGGTGGGAGGCTGTATAATCTCCTTATTCCGAATATCTCCACTAATGACTTTCTACACTGTGGCAGCTCTTCCTATGATCATCACCGTTGGCACATTATTTGGAGCTCTGTTGAGAAGTCTCAGCAGGAGGTTCATATCAGTGTTTCTATACGACATCACACCGATTTTCACTACAGAGCACAGGCGCAGTCAGCTATAGCTGCTGCCGTAGCAGATGAAGCCCTTGGAAATATACAAACTGTTCGAGCTTTTGCCATGGAAGAGCAGGAGTCCAGGTGAGTGTTTTATGCTCAAGCGACGGGAAAAATTTTTTTGGCAATAGTGCCTAATCTTCTCGTCCTTTGAACATTCTATCGTCTGATTAATGAAATATATAAGTATTGTTATTGCTCATCTCCTGCAGATTATTTGAGAGGGAGGCACGAGATGCATGTGCACTACAAGAGACACTAGGAATGGGGATAGGATTGTTTCAAGGTGATACTTAGTGGCCTCACTACTTTTACATCAACGAAAAAAGTTCAAACAAAGCTGTTTTTTAGGAGCTACTAACTTCTTCTTGAATGGAATTGTTTTATCTGTATTGTATGGAGGGTCTTCTCTCATAAACTCAGGTAGTCTGGAGCGATTTTGTGAAAAATCAGCTGGTTTATATTACAGGACAAATGTCTCCTGGAGAATTGATGTCGTTTCTCGTCACTGCGCAAACCATTCAGAGATCACTAAGTCAGCTTTCTGTAGTGTTTGGAAATGCCGTAAGAGGTTGGACGGCCGGTGCAAGAGCGTTTGAGGTAATTTTGCTCAAATTTGGGTGTTTCCGTTGTCTTATCTTGTTAAATACGCTCTTCCAAGCTTCTTCGATATATTACTATTTTTTTCCTGATTAATTTTACCATATTTCACAAAATGCGACGTCTTTTCTCAATCGTGTGCTCCCATATTATTGTTGGTAACCGCCTCATACACTACACCAATTTTCATCTATAGTTTGTCAACCTGCGCCCTTCCATTCCCAATAATGACGGTGTCTGCATACCGTACCATACATTATGGGGAGAAGTACGATTTGAAGACGTAGACTTTGCGTACCCGACGCGGCCAGATCATCAAGTATTCGAGAAGTTGAATCTCACCATACCCGCGGGTAAAATAGTGGCTCTCTGTGGACCCAGTGGTGAAGGCAAGTTCTAATCAAGTTGGAAAAAATAAAGCAGTCAGCATTTCCTCTCAGGAAAAACAACTATAACCTCCCTGCTGGAACGTTTCTATGAACCAGTATCTGGTCGAGTGCTTCTGGACAATCAAGATCTGAAGACTTTGAATGTGGAGTGGTTACGGGGACAGGTGAGCTAGGGCAACGTGCTTTGTTTCACTCTTTTTCTCAATGAAGATTCAATTCTCAATAATCTTTCCTGAAAAACTCAAATTTTATTGAAACGAACGTTTTTTCCGTGATGCATAATGTTGATCGCTTGCTTCCAGGTCATTGGGCTGATCTCTCAAGAGCCCGTCCTGTTTGCAACCACAATTGAGGAAAACATTCGCTATGGACGACCCGGAGCCACTCGTAGAGAGGTGATTTTTTGATGAAATTTTCATGTCTTGCATCTATGTGAGTTGTTTTTATGGGATATAACGATCTTCTTTAGGTTATCAAAGCTGCTAAGTTAGCAAACGCGCATGATTTCATCGCTAAGTTTCCTGAGGGATATGGTACAGTGGTAGGAGAGCGTGGCGCACAGTTATCTGGAGGACAGAAGCAGGTAAAAATGCGTGGATTGAAAAACTGCGTACTGTACTATGTTTTCAGCGAATCGCAATAGCAAGGGCGTTATTGAAAGATCCACCGATACTCGTCCTCGATGAAGCGACTAGTGCTCTTGATGCCGAAAGCGAGCGTTTGGTAAGTTGGTTTTTTTACCACGTTGATTTAGCCGATTCATATGCAGAAAGTTCTTATATGAACTTTTCTGTAGAAAACTTTTCGTATTGGCACATATGTCAGGCAATAAGCGGACGGCAATACTGTAATAAGTTGAAGACATCTGGTAGATACGATGACTTACCACAACCTTTCAAAATGTTGAAAATTACTATAGCTTTACTTGTCAGCGATAATTTTCCACTCTGGCTTATCTATCACATGAAATCTTTTTCCTTCATGAGATTTGACCTATTTGGTTTTTAACATGCTCATCGCGTTACATCTTGTATACAATTTTTTGCAACTTTGGTTTTTTCAATATTTTTGCACCTGTCTATCGTGACTATATCGTAATGTTTTATTAAAAGATGGTTGTTCTACAGAAAGATTCCGCATATCCAACAGCACCACATCCATGCATGCCATTTTGGCCTTTGCCATATAAACCCGTAAAATTGCCATTGCTGTCACTCTAAAAAAAATGACTCACTGTGCCAGAGGGAATATAAGAGGGATTGTATGGGAATGGCAAAAATGGAAAGCATTGCTTAATTCAATTATGAATGCTTTTTTTGTAAATGACACCAACTTTTTTTCATCACACATTTTCATCACGGTTGTTTTTGGCCCTCAAAATGCTTGGCATCATTCAACATTTCGCTTCTATTTCCCTTATACAATCTTATCCTATTATTTGATTACTAGATGATCTCCGCCCTATTTTTTTAGGTACGCGACGCTTTGGATCGAGCAATGAAGGGCAGAACGGTTTTGATCATAGCGCATAGGTTAAGCACCATCCGAAATGCTAACCTCATCTGCGTCGTTAAGGACAAGAAGGTGATTTGGTCACTTGGTTTTTTGTTATCCTAAATTAGCGTCTAGTTCAGGTCTTGGAACAAGGAACACATGACGAATTAGTGCGAAAAGAAGGCATTTACTATAATCTGATCAAGTCTCAGTTCAACTAGGATGGTTTTTATAAGTCAGTAGGTTGTAGCAATATTCTAGGTATAACGTATCTCAGACTTACTTGAGTACCTCTTACTAGGTTTTATAGCTAAGGAACTGTTGCCATTATATTGTATGTCTGTGATATTCCATAGTTTATTATTTGCAATTTCGCATGTTGCTCAGCAAGATCAATCATGTACATTTTCACAGATTGAATGCACACTTAGTGAAGATTCTTACCATAAAAAAACTATTTGTACATTTTCTCATGAGTAACACACACTAAACAGTGCTGATAACAAAACATCGCAATGGCAGTCAAATGAGTAAAGCATATGAAAGAACTGTTTGTGGGAGGTCAGGCGTTTTCCTATGCTCGGTATCCGGACTCTTCCACGATCGGCTCAGCAATGACCGGCTCGGCAGGCATCGCTAATGCTGCTGGTTCCTCTTCAGGAACAGGTTCAAAGGTGGTCCCCAAGGCGGCAGCTCCGTATGTTGGGGTGACTACTGGGACGGGCTCGTCACCATAGGCATTATCGCCTGCTTCTCTTTTTGAACGATATCCGGATTCGACAACGGCTGCCTCGGCAGCAGCAGCAGGATTTTCGTTCTCAACGGTTTGTGGCTCTTCTTCGGCGGGTAGAACGACTGGCTCCACTACAGGTGCTTCGCCTTCGTATTGGGGTGCGGCTGTGGCGATGGCCGGTTCGTCGCCGTATGCGTTACTGCCGATTGAGCGTGGTACGACTGCAATTAGGCAATCATGGTCGTTAAAGAAAGTTCTTATGAAATCTAGCAATCAATTTCCTCGTAGAACTAGCTGAAGCATGGTCAGTGTGGACGAAAACTATGCAAAAAGTGCCCCATTTTGGCGGCACAGCTCTCCTTTCTGAGTGAGTGGCAGAAGAAAACGTTAATGGACAATACAACAGTTGCTACCGTTACTCCTCAGAGAACTCATTTCCCATAATGTCTACGTTTTGCTATTTGAAGCTCATAAAGCTTTATTTCACTACTTTGTATCAAATGAATCAAACGATAATGTAATACACTCAGGAAAGAGTAAAGATAAAAATGATGCATGAAGAGGATGAATCTTCGAAAGTTCGTGCTTTTTTTGAGTCAAACAACGCGGGCTGATGGAACTGTCGCATGCACCATTTACAACTATTGCGGTGTAAATAGACTCACTATTTTTTTGAGCGCCGCAATTTTTTGAAGGTATCCTTTGATTCAACTGGCTTGGCGGCTGAAAGGAGGGGTTTCGTGACCTAATGACCTGATTAAGGCTAGATAGTGATCAGAGGGCACGCCGCGAGAGAGACGCGGACTGCGTCGCGGGCGCGGGGCCTTAGGTTACAAAGCCGCCTTCTAGCAGCCAAGCCAATTGAATCAAAGGTTACAACAGCTTAGGTTCACTTTGAATAAGCAGGCCTTCACGTGTCGCATATACAGGGTCCCCTAAAAAATCTGCCTACTGTTTGAATGTCAATAAATCTATTTCCATGAAGTCTTTCGGGGTCTTCAGTACCATTTTGTAGAGCAAGCTTTGAATTAGATTTGCGGTGTCGAGCGAATTACCGTTATCTCTTCATCACTGTAGGATTACGGTGGAAACTTCAAGGAGGATTTTGCGCCATTGAGGGTCATATTTTACTCCTAAAAAAGGACCACATAAGTTGAAAACTCCTATGTTAGATTAGTCAAAGTTGCTGATCTCAAATATGAAACTCGCATTTCACCGAAACGCTTTCTTGTTAGTTCTGTCGGCATACCGCAAACCGTTTTCTGATATTCGTCAAAAATTCAGTTACGCTATTTAAAAAGCTCTGCGAACCACCAAAAGTATGCGTGAAAACATCATTATGAAAACCTTGTCAGCTTTCCACATGCTTTTTGAAAAATTTTCTTAGGTCTATCTTATGATGGCGCCATATGCTGCGAAATCTTACCGTAATCCTACAGTAATGAAGAGGGATCGATAACGCTCCATGCTGTAAATCTAAGTTGAGGCCAGCTTTACAAAATGACCTACACCTTCTCGAAAGGTTTCATGACAAACGAGTTACTAACGATCAAACAGGAGGCACATTTTTTTGGGACGCCTGTGTATGATATTCTTCAAGAAATTCGAGTAGGATTATGTAAAATTGACAATTTCTCGAGATTTTTAGGCCTGTTTTGACCAACAACGTTGCTTTAGCTTATTTGCTGCAGTAAAAAACATAAAAGCCTATCTGAATTATATTGAGCAAAAGAAAAAATCTTACATACCGAAATTTTTATGCATGGTTATCGCATGTTGTCCAAAAATTGTATTTTTGATGGAAGAGACTCACTTAATTTGTTTTCGTTCAATTTCATCTCACCTTACAATTAGTGAATTCCATTTCGAAGGCTCATAATCCTGCAGCGAAAAATGGCACACAAAATTTGGAGTAAGTCACTTCACTAGGAATAAAGCACTCAAAGAAGATCGCAGTTAGTATCATAAATTGAGTCATCAAAAATGGCAGTAATATTCCATAATACTTATTGAATTGAAATCTTTGTCACATCCACAAGAAGATTTGGTTTCTATTTTGGTTACAATACAAATGTTTTAGAGAGAATGGTGGAAGCTTGCTACACTTTTGAAACTCAAACCAGTTTTCAAACACTAAACGAACGCTTTATTTTCTAGTTTTTTTTTTCTTATGAAACACAAGGACACTTACTCGACTTCGCTGAAACCGTAGCAAAAAGGCCGACGACGATTGCACATATATATAGGGCATTCATTTTGCCTTAGAAGAATAAGTGGAAATGGAACAAGTGTGTGGATGTTACGCTGGGATTCCCAACCTCCTTATATACTCTCGTAACGCTGCTGTAGCTTAGAACCTGCTTGAATCGAGGAGGAGGAAATTACACGAGCAAAAAACATCATGCATCTACGGCACACGACTTTCAGTTTTTAGGCATTGGTTACGACTTTTTTATGTTTTTGCATTGTCGTGGCGTGAAGGACGCATTAGCCCTGGAGGCTTAGGCGCGGGAGCTGAACTCGGCATGAACCAGACCCTTGCGCGGTTTTCAATCATGAAATTAGGGGAGATGACGAAGGAAGTGCATCGACAGGTTGTAAACCCTAATGTGCAATTTCTCGTTCTTTCTATTGGCTTTACGTTGATCCATGCTCTACTAATTGAGATCACTAAACTGAACCCAAAGCGCAGATCGTAATGGGTCGAATAAATTGCAAGGTGGGGGTGGTGGCAATTTGGTCCACCAATGAAACTTCAGTTCAAGAAAAAATTTGAAACCCAGAAATACAAAGAGAATATTCTAAAACTATGGTACAGGCTTAGCTCCTTCGAAGACTGGGATCGGAACAGAAAACGCTGGATACCAGCATCCTCCTTTGGCTGAAGAAGCAAACTAACATTGGTAGCTTAGAATGTTCTAGACTCATAAGTGCACCGAACTGGTTTAGTAGACCTCTTCGTTTCCCCTCCTCGGAATATCCCCAGCCTTTTCCCCTTTGAAGTAGTCTTTGAGCAGCCGAAGTGGAGCCTCAATAGCTGTTCAAGAATAATATATTATTGATGTAATGTAATGTATTGTAATCTAAAAATTCCATTTGTAAGGGGCTTATACATTTATCTTCATGGGAAGCTCCTAATGTTGTAGGACCTGTACAGGATGTCCCAAAAAGTCCATTTTTGATCTAAAATATCTCTATTGTTATAGTGTATTTTGCGGACCTTTAGCATCATTTAGAGCTTGCTTTGACTTAGGTTGAAAATAAAACGCGAGGTACAATCGCTCTCGGTCACTGTAAGATTACGGTAGTTTGAGCAGAACCGTTTTTGCAAATCATCTGCGATTCATAACTTCCAAGATATCCAAAAAATTTTTTAGTGTTTTCATGTAGGCGCCGACTGCAGAAAATAAAAAATTAGGGCACGAAAGACATTTTAGGTCAAGCAGTAGGTTATATTTCTCGAGAAATCTTGCAGAAGTTTGACCTTGTAATTTTAGACAGCATACTTCACGGAATGTTTCATGGTCAATAAAATTTACCACCAAGTTCTCCGGCAAGTTCCGACAACAATAGATGAAACTTTGAGCACCTCAAAGGTGGCGCGGTATTTCTCTTAGGTTCTCAAACTGGATACCCAATGCAAATTGTGTTTTTACGCTAGCATTGCTTTGTAGAATGACAAGGTCGTCACGAGCGTACAAACGATCAGTAAACATTTGTATCTTGTTACATAGTTTGTTACCTTGAACTGTATACCACCACAATCCGGTTCGATCGTGGTTTCTTCGTCCTCTTCGCAGTTCTCTTTTTATAGTAATGGTCAAATTCTTGAAGTAGGCCTCTTATGTCTAATGGACGACTCATAGCGTGACTGCAAAAAAGAGTCAAGCACCTTCAGAAAAGTTTCCGTGCGCTATCTTCAATAACTCTCTATTTTACCACACTTTCTGGGTTGACCAAAAGTAATGAGGTCTTTAAAACTATTTTCAACTATCCTTAGATCAATAGAATATTTATAGACGAGTGCTCTAGATGGTATCCGTTTTTTTCTCTTTTCGACAGCTACCATTCCCAACTGCATCTTTGAAAAATTGTTGGAGTAATCGCACGAGTTTTGAGTACAAAGTCCTCTTTGCTTTTCACAGTTCGCATAATTGTGCCCAAAATTCCAAAATAATATGAAGCAGTAAAGGCCTCACTGGTTTGCAAAATCATTGCCAAAAATTAGATTTTTTGAAAAAAATCATTTTGAAAACCGTGAAAGGGCTAATTGGAGAAAAGCTAGAGGACATAATCTTCATATGAGCGAATGCCTTTCAAACTTTGAAATAAATCTTGTGAGGACTAGCTAAAGTTACAGAAGGCAAAAACGATAGGTTCAATATTCTAGAAATAATTTTAAGCGATTATGAGAAGAGTCAGCGTGTTAGAATAACTGCTGGAAAGCATAAGAATGACGGTTCTAAACATCATTCACTGTACTTATAGTCATTGTGGACCACTTTGTCATAAAATTTAGGAAACGGAACTATTATTACTATTTCTAGCTGTTGAGTATAATTTTTTGACGTTCATAGACACATCTTCAAAATTTATACTTTGTATTAGGTTGTCCGGAAATTAATGCAGGTTTTGAGTTTCAACCGCAATAAGTCATATACTTCTCATTTCTGAATAGGTCGCAAGGTACCATTCGATAGAGCAAAGCAAGCTCTACAAAACGACAATCTTGCTTTAGCAACAGCTCTGATCCACCACGAGTTTCGAGCCAAAAACTAAAACGATTCAACTGTTTGAAAAATTAAGAAAAATCGTAACATAGTTCATAAAAGTCCTAAAAAAATTCTAACTTGCTCACGTAAACACAATCTACATAAAGCATCTATATGCGCCATTGCCGGATTATTTTCTGTGTTAGAAATCAAGAAAACGGAAATTTTCGTACATTTGCCAAAGTGGTGCTGTGCCGTTCCCGCATAGGTAGTTGTATACCACAAACCTGTAGAAGTATAAACGTAAATTTTCAGCTCTCTACAAGCTTTAATTCTCGAGATATATCGAATACAGTTTTCCCTAGTCATGTGGTCCAAAATAAAATTCAAATTTCTCGAGAACTAAAGCTTGTAGAGAGCTGGAAATTTACGTTCATACTTCTACAGGTTTGTAGTATACAGCTACTTATGTGGGGATGGCACAGCACCACTTTGGCAAATCCACGAAAATTTCTGTTTTCTTGATTTCTAACAAAGAAAAAAATACGGCAATGGCGCATATAGATGCTCTATGTAGATTGTGTTTACGTGAGCAAGTTAGAATTTTTTTAGGACTTTTATGAACTATGTTACGATTTTTCTTAATTTTTCAAACAGTTAAATCGTTTTAGTTTTTGGCTCGAAACTCGTGGTGAATCAGAGCTGTTGCTAAAGCAAGATTGCCGTTTTGTAGAGCTTGCTTTGCTCTATCGAATGGTACCTTGAAGGCTATTCAGGAATGAAAAGTGTATGACTTATTGCGGTTGAAACTCAAAACCTGCATTAATTTCCGGACAACCTAATATTATGAAGCATCATCGGGACTCCAACTTTAATATCAAGACCGGCGGCGAATCTTCCGTAAACTGCTAAAAATGAGATTCTCCGTTATCTCCGTGAAAATTCCCCGACATAATGATGAACTATTACGTTTACTAGCTCAGAGTTTTTCATGTTTTACGAAAACTGACAAGTTTCAAAAATCTGCTAAGATATTTCGATTTTTTGGAAGGTATTTGATTTTCGTGTTCGGCGTCTTTACATAAGATTTATGTGACTCGTAAATTCTTTGACTCTTTTAGGCGACCAGCTTGAAGCATTGATGAAGTATCCGAATTGTTCATTATTATGTCTTGGTATTTGTGTTGTTGGAATGCTTTAGAAGATGAATTAACAAAAGTGCAGGCAAAGTTACCTTCAGAAGAGGTTCTTCGGTAAGCGCTTGCTGTATGCTCTCATCTGTACGTGAAATTCACTATTCGTATCAAGTCGTTTGGTAACTAGTTTAGTTGCAACCAGAGTCGCTGAATTCTGGGACTTGGAGTGTTTTTAACGCAAAAATGATAGAATATTTTCTGGCTTCAAGAGCTGGTAAGTGTTGAAGAACCCCCAGAAAAAAAGTGTTGTATTATATTCGTTCTCACTCACAAGGTAGACAGACTTTTCTTTGCTCAAAATTTGGTCTACTAGCATGACGAAAGAAGTAGAGTCCCTCCTTTGAAGAACGTTTTGGATAATGATTGGTTTTTTCCAATTGAAGTGGCCTTTCCTAGATTGGTTGAGTTCAAAGTGTATTGTTCTTAATGCAGCTGATGCCATTACGGGAAACGCCCAACTTTCCAGTTTTTATTTTGACGAAATGCAATGATGCCAAAAAGAAGCTCAAACTTGAAGCTGCTTGCTGTGGGGATGAAAGCAGCAAAGCAGAAAAGCGAATCGCTTTGTCCAAGGAAACATTACAAGCAAATGATGATGGCGAAATTTTATGTAGGACACCTACTTGCAGGACGATATAATACAAGGCAGAGTCACGACCAGAGTTGAGCAAGAGGTCAAGCACAAGTCTCAAACGACCCTCTTCTTCCTCCCTTTTCACCTCTGGGACCTCAAAGAGCAACATTTTGGAGGACACCATCCCTTTCTAGAGAATTTTTAGATTTTTGGAGTTTGTACGCCCAATTTTCTGTGATTGACTTTAAAATCACACGTAGTCTAAATGGGTTTATTGCAAGGATCATAATTTCTTTAAGGCTGGGGTATTGGCTTCAAATTTTTACTGTAGCAAGAAGGAGCTATGAGCTCAATATCCATGTTAGGAATGGAGCGATTTCTGAATTTTGACGACATGTTAAGGAGGTCAGACGCAAGGCTACAAATGCTCAGGCGGCCTGAGCTTTTGAGGGGTTGCGCCTGACCCGGTTGACTTTATCACCGAAGAATCTTTTCCACCCTTGTTTAATGTGATTCGCTAGCGCAAGCATCGAAGATTCTACAGTAGGTGTTTAAGCTTACTTGGACTTGTTTCGGCTTTGTGGTGATCTGTGGAGTTGAAGCAGTCGAGGGGACAATGCGGTGATTGAAATTTTGGCAGCACTTCTTGATCCACTGTTTGAAAGCGATAGGAGAACTAATTTTACCATAGTCTAACAAAGAGTGATACTTCATTTTCAGCACAAGAAAGTAGACTTGTTTTACTTTCTTGACCAAATTAATCATGTCCGAAAATCACGCTTCTTAGACGTTAGGACATCAGAAAATGTGAGAGGTTGTGGTTTGTAGAGCTCGTGTAGGTAATTTGGCATGCTGATTACGGAAATCTTACCCACTTTACACAACAAGCCTCTTTGG